ATGAAGGAATTAAACGTTACCAGATACGTAATCTTTACCCAAAAAGCATTAATGCATGTCCTTGTAAATATCAAATGCTAGTAATTGACTTATTCTTCATCGTAATAGGAAAAAACATTAATGACAATACAGAAAATCTTTCTTTGTGGAACAAAGAAAAAACCCAAAACGTCTTACATTTCAGAACGGAGGTAGTATCACTTATAAATGTTTATAATTACATGTTTTTAATTTTTCACTCATGAAAATATTTTTTACAGAATTTATAAATTATTTTTAAGATTCAATCTTCCAGACAACTAACATTTCAGTCGTCCAGACGACTGAAAAGTAACTCAGCCCAACTCAGACAACTTACTAAGGTTATATTCGTAAAAATGTCTTCTGTTTTTTTGTTTGGTCACAGAGGACTATATTGTAATTTCATAGCCCTTTTAGGTTAGATTTGCATTTGATTCAAGTTGGGGTCTAGTATTGGGGTTAAAACCAAGTTGTGGGTTAGTTTTGGCAAAAACCCCTTGTATCATTTACTAATTTAAATTAATATCAGTTTTTGTGATACTGTTTATTAATAAAAAACTAGGTGTTTTGTCCGCACTTGCGGGCATAATGCTCTTATAAATATATACTAGAGTTTTTATCCGCACGTTCGTGCGGGTATATTTTTTTATTTTTAAAAATTTATTTAATATTAATGTAAATGTTTTAAATATATAAGTTATATTTTTATGTTATTATATTGTGTAAATTTATAATCTAATTGCTGTAGATTTTTATTCAACATTATTAATATATAATATTCTTTAATTTTTTTTCTTTGTTGTTCAACATTATTAATATAAAATGTTTTTTATATTTTCTCAACATATTATTTTATAATAAAAATATTAAATTTTCAGTTAAAAATATTTTTCACTAATATCTTCTGAATTAGTAAAACTTTCTGATATCCAATCTTCTTTAAATAACACATGAACTTAAAGTTAGTTATATACTATAATATTTTTTATATAATCATTTTAGATAATATGTTTTGTGAGTTTTAAATTAAGTAAAAAATAAGATATAGTAAAAATTTAACATTATGCTAACATTTTTGTATAAAAAATATACTTAATTTATGATGTTAATCCTTTTAATGGTGAATAATTTTTTTTATTTTAATGGTGAATAAATTTTAAAATATACCAACTTTATTTATTTTATTTAATTCATAGTGCAATTCTATTTTAATATAACATAGACTATAATATGAAATTTATAAAATAGTATCGGATTCTTTTTTTTGTTATTATAGTGAAATTTTAATTAATATTAATGTATAATAGTATGATATTATTAATTACGAAATTCATTATTATGTTATTTAATAAAAAAATATTTAAACTTTTAGTAAGATTTTGTTTGATTTTCTCTCAACCGATTATGTTCTAACTAAAAATAAAATTTAAATCTATTATTTTCAGCATATATGATATATATTTGATTGATTAACCTAAATAATTGAATATGTCATACTAAGTAATTAATGAAATGGTCCTATATGACTTCTTTTGTAGTAGATAAAAATAGTGACTCTATTTTAATAGAGTAGATAAGTTGGTGTTTTATTAATTAAAAATCAGTATAATAAGTTATTATTTATATTTTCAAAAAACTAAAAAATCAAAAATAAATAATCAAATAATTATCAATGACAAAACTCAAACATCAGAGATATTTACAAAAATATATTTCTATAATTACTTTTTTGATTTATATTTAATTATAATATTTATATCTTAAATTTATATTTTATAATAGAAAAACATATTTTCAAGATAACAATATAATGCATAAGTAATTTATTTTCTAAAAATATAATATGATAATTTTTTTAATTATATAAAATTATAGAAATTATGACATATAATTAAAATTACTAAAATCATGGAGAACTTAATGAATCAGCAAATTCACTTCTTAAATATTTTTCTTGAGTGATGATTTATATTTAATTAATAATCTATAATTTTTCTACTTTACTTTTAAATTATATAATATAAAAATATATTTTCAAGATAACAACATAATACATAAGAATTACCTTATTTTCTAAAAGTATAATATTATTAGTGTAATTTTTTTTCAATTATAGAATAACTATAATTTTTATATCTTAATTTTAAATTTCTAAGAGAAAAATATATTTTCAAGACATTAACTTAATACATAAGAAGTATCTTATTTTCTAAAAATCTGATACTATTAATATAAATTTGTTTTTCAACAAATTCACTTTTAAATAATTGTTTTGATGATTTATATTAATTATGATTTATATAATTATTAATAATATAATTTTTATTTAATTTTAAGTTTTATAATAGGAAAATATATTTTCAACATAAAAACATAATCCATAACAATTATCTTATTTAAGAAAAATATTAAATTATTAATATAAATTTGTTTTAGTTATATTTAAATTAAATTATTAATATAAATTTGTTTTAGATAAATAATAGTTTTATATCTTAATGTAAAATTTAAGTTTTATATATAAAAATATATTTCAAGATATCAACATAATTCAAAATAATTATCTTATTTACTAAAAATATGATATATTCATATAAATTCGTTTTATATTAAATAATATTATAGATTTTTTCCATGTTAATTTTTATTTTTTTTTTACTTAGGATCATGGAGACAAGTCAACAAATTCACTTTTCAAATAAGTGTTTTGATGATTTATAATTAATTATTAATTATATAATTTTTTAATTATAATTTTTATAATAGGAAAATATATTTTCAACATAACAACATAATCCATAACAATTATCTTATTTTGGAAAAAATATTAAATTATTAATATAAATTTGTTTATTTATATTTAAATTAAATTATTACTATAAATTTGTTTTAGATAAATATAATAGTTTTTATATCTTAATATAAAATTTAAGTTTTATATATAAATTTTATATATAAAAAATATATTTCAAGATTACAACATAATTCACAAGAACTATCTTATTTACTAAAAATATGATATATTCATATAAATTATTTTTATTTATAAATAAAATATATATAAATATTAAAATATGATAAATAAACAAAAATACCTAAACTTATAGAGAACATGACAACTAAACAAATTTACCACTTAAATAATAGTATAGATAGTATTTTTCTTATAGTGTGTTTTTACATGCATGTACTAGATAAATAGCAAAACAAAATCCAAATTTTTATTGTTAATCCTATAGTATTAGAATAAATCACTTAAATCAGGTAACAAAACCAATGGTATTTAGAAACAAATCTCACCTTCATTATTATAAAATTACCATATGACATACAATTCCCATTTTCCTCTATTTATAAGACACATGAGAAAGAAACAACAAGACAAGATTACACAAAAAAAAATGGAGACTTGCAAATTTCTTGCCTTGATATTCGCCGCCATCGTCGGTCTCTACTCCGTCCAGGCGACAGCACAAGGAGTAGATCCTCATTTGACGGCTTGCACGCAAAAGCTTTTGCCGTGTCAGCCGTATATTCACGCGGTGAATCCCCCGCCTCCACCGACGTGTTGCGGGCCAATGAGAGAGATCGTGGAGAAAGACGCAGCGTGTCTATGCGCAGTTTTTAACAATCCGGCTATACTCAAAACACTCAACCTCACCAAAGAAACCGCTCTTGATCTTCCTAAAGCCTGTGGAGCTCATCCTGACATCTCACTCTGCTCCAAAGCTGCTTGTAAGTTTTTTATTTCTCAATAAATATCTCATCAATATTATATATGTACGTAATTTAGTCAAACATGGTAAAGTAAATGACGATGTTTTATGTATCCAAAATGAAGCTTCTTCTCCGCCTACTGCACCTCCAGGAGGCCCAGGACCAACCAGCGGTACGTATGCACTTCATATTAATATGCAGTTAGATTTTATAGATAAAAATATAAATTAAACATTACAAAAATTCGCATAATTGTTTTACAAAAAAAAAAATTCGCATAATTGATGTGACCTTCTTGCTCATCAGGTGGCTCTTCCGTCCAAGCTATCAGCTACATTGGACTTAGCTTTCTGTTTGCTTTTGCGGCAATGATCTTGTATTGATTATGTCATATGTCCGTTTTTATTGTCACCGTTTTATGTATTTGGCTCTACGTATTGTTATTGTTTCATCTTTAAACATTTTTACATAATTGAATTCTCAATCTTTGTTCTATTTTGGATTTTTAATAAATATGTTGATAATCATGTTGTAACCGAAAACGAAAGTTTTAAGAGATGTGTTATAGACGAGACAAGAGAAAAATGTGAGCTGTAGGTAGCAGAAATGGAGTTAAAACTTTAATTAGAATACAAAAATAAATAAGAAAGTGTTAGAAACAAGCTCAACTTCTTTTAAAAAAATATTTAATTTCATTTAATCAACCCAAAATTGGGATTCAAGTGTTGATCACTAGTTAATTTAAACGATTTTTTCTAAATCAAACATTACAACACCAACTTTGTCCGTCCACTACACCGACTAACACCAACTTCGTTCGCCCACCACACCGATACGTTCCGCTAAATTGCTCTGTAATTTTTAAAATATTATTGACTGTTCTCAATCGCCGATGATAACCACTTAAAGAGTGAAGTTTGCCTCGTTGCCTCGGATGCTGGTTCTTTTCGTGTCATAGCTGGAGTAGTTAGTCTTTGATGATCGTTTTAAACTTGTTTTTCTTCGCTGACGTTAAGCTCTATACACGAATGGAAAGGAGGGTAGAGATAGCAAACCTGAGAGAGCCACTCAACATTTAGTCATCTACACCCGAGCTATCAGACCCGAACGAAGAGACCCCAATCCACACGCCAAAACAACAAGCTCAACTTAGACAAAGAAGATAAGAAAGAGTCAACATTTTGTTATTCAGCATAGACCTTTTTTTTTTTTTTTGAAACACATACTTATATTAAAGATGAACCAGAATGTTAGTTGGGTGCCATAATGACACCATCAACCACCGGGTTTTCGAACAACAAAGCTGACTTAGCAAGGCTATCAGCCAAGGAGTTTCTCTCACGAGAAATCCACACAAAATACACAAACTCAAAAGACGCACACAGAGAAATGCAATCAGACAATACTCCATAGAGCTCAGGAAGAAAGCCTCCCGAGTTAAGAGCTTTGATAAGTTGAGAAGAATCAGATTCAAAGACCACCGACAGCAAGCCCTTCCGGTGTCCTTCTCTAATCGCTTCCCGTAGAGCCAATCCCTCTGCCACTAGAGCCGAAGATACAAAGGAAACCCGTTTGTTTGCAGTCACAATCCCGTCCTCTGAGAAAGTCGCCCATCCTAAACCTGCCACTGTCTCACCCGGCCTCCACGCTGCGTCCGACCTGATCACAGTTATCCCTGTCGGTAACTGCATTTGGAATGGGAGGTTCTTTTTGGTAGAGACATCTTTTGTCTGAGATTCCCATTCACGTGCCATAGAGATAGCCGTCGAAAGAGTGTCTTCAGGGGAGCTAGAGAAGTTTTCAAACAGAAACCTGTTCCGAGCTTTCCATAAGCTCCACATAATCCAAAGTGCAAGAGACTTTCCAGTGACTCCAGAGGGTGGTAAGCATTGGTTATAGCATAGTGGTGTCCATGAGCTCATCAAATCTAATATTCCGCTAATTTCCACAGTAGTAACAAAGGGGGCGAGTCGCCATACCTTCCTAGAGTACTGGCATTGGAAAAACAGATGAGTAATAGATTCAGCATAGACCTTAATTGGTAGAATTGATGATAAAACAACAGTAATATATTATAGAGTAGTAATCTGTAAAAACTGTAAACTTTCATTAATGTATTTAATAAAGTGATTGGTAAAACACTAATTCATATATAAAATTTTCATTGCAACTTAATACATAATATATAATTTGTATATTTCTAAATAACATAGATATATTTCTATTTATATTATATTTATATTTTTGTTATTGAAAATAATGAATCATATTAAATTATATAAATTAAATGTGAAATATATTCTTTTAAAAAGTTAAAATATTTAATTTTAAATTTATTTTAAAATATAATTTTAGTTTTTAAATGTAAGCATAAATTTTAACATTATTAATAAAATAATTTAATTGTGTATGATTATTTTTAATCATTATATATTTTAAATATACATTCTCTACCAAAAAGCTCTATATGATAGTATTGAGCAAATAAA